ACCATGATCTATGAGACAGGAACTATGGCATGAAAGCTCCAGAGGTTCAATCAGCTGAGGTTCTTTGCATCAAATACACAGTGCGTGAATGCTCCCAATTTAGTGAAGACATTTGTCCTGAGGCTAAAGCATTGATTCTCCACTTACTGTCTTTTAATTGTGATGTATCCAATTTATCTTTTTAGGCTATAAACTCTTAGGGGAAAAGGTTCTTCTTCACTCTGCATGCTGTTCTCATGCCAGCTTTATTTTACTGCAAGTAAACCACATTCAGGTTAAATCATTTTCATATTAGCTGGATAACACTTTTCTATTGCTAGAATTAATTGCTGTAACATGTATTTTTTTCCTACAACAATGTCTGATGTAAGGATGAATCAGTGGTGACAACATTATAAATAAATGAAGAGTAACAAATAGAGGAACATTCCAGATGTTGTAAAAATGTCCTTTTCTACTCAGAAAACTGTTTGTTCATCCATGCCATGGTAATGTTTATGCTTTAGTAGTATAAACTCCTGCGCACAAGCACTGCTTTCTACTAGTCCAGAAAAAAGGAAGCTATCCAGGATGTTTGTTTTCATTGTTTCCCCCTCCAGAATTGCAGGTGCTCTATTTTACTGCCATTACCCTAGGCCTATCTGCTGCCCCAAATTCACATTTACACTCCTGCCATGTATGAATTGGCCAAAGCGCACAGCCCTTCGTTCCCAGATATTCAAGCTTGATGATTCACAGGCGATAAAATGTGACAGGACTTTTCACCAACAAACGAACTGCAGGGCATCCTAATCAGCAGGCAAGGCAGCTCTAATAACTGGGTTACAGCGTAAGGAAATAAACTCAAATGGAGCAGAACATTCATAAGACAAGAAACGTTAGATGCTACTCAGCCTAAAGCACCACTGGTGCTATACAAAGACATCCAACTAACACAGCAACTTTTTTTTCCCCTTTGGAAGCAGGATTCCTTTCAACTGCCAGTTAAAGACGGTCTCAGCAGCGCGTGAACAAGAATGGTAACCGCTTAGAGCCCCCAGCATGACTACTTCAGGCTTCTTTTCCCTTTCCAATTGCAGCAAACTGCAGTCAGACAGACAATGGAGTGTTTTGTTGATGTGGTGGTTTTAATTTGCAGAGTTAGGATACTGCTGGTTTTCAGTGTTTTCAGGTATGGTTGACAGGCAGGACAGGACACACACCAAGCCGCCCACATGCCAGCTGCTGTCCCTGCCGCAGGAGGTGCCACACGCTCAGAGGCTCACACAGAACCCACTTGGGTGGCTCTGGCATCAGCTGCAGATGAATTTGTGCTAACAGTGAAAAACACTGTCCCCAGAAGGGCATCTGTCCCCAAATGTTGCTTCTCAAAGGACACCTGCTCTGGATCTTTTTCCTAAGCTGTGCCAAACGAAAAGGTTTGCTTGTGTCAAATACACAAAGCCTCGTTCCCTCTGTTCCCCTGCGGACAGCCTAAGCTCAAAGTGAATTTGTGATGCTGTCACTACAATGGCAAAACTCTCTTTGGTTCAAGGCAATCATCTTTTCAAAAAACTTGAGCCTCTACATCCACAGCAGGATCCCTAATGAGATTTTCTCCCAGCAAAATTATTTTTTCTAACACACTTGGGTCCCTCAGTCACTGCTAAAACTCCTACTGACTGCAATACAGGGTAAATTTCTAAGCACAGACCACAGGATCCCTTCTTCCAGCAGACTGGATGTGCAGAAACCTGTCCCAGGATCTGAAGACAGTTTCCTCTGAGCAGCAGAGCCCCTCTCTCCATCCAGCCCACAGCAGCTGGAAGACCATGGCTTTTGCTGGTACTGTAAATGACATGCCTGGGAGACCGAGGCATTGCTCTGAATCACTGGAGCAATGAAAACAGCTGAGGAATTTGATGCATCCTATTCCATCAAGAAGGGCCCTGTGTGCCAAGTCTCACTAGGATAAGAAGTGTCAGGGACCTCAGATGAGCTATAGGTTTGGCACTAGACTATCACGGCCCTTAACTGATCATACAGAAGAATAGGGGAAAATAAAACAAAGTACTTCTTCCCTACTCAGTTGTGCTCAGATTATGATGCAAGACATATGAAAAAAAAAAAGAGATGGGGCTGCCCCCCTCAGTATACTTCACTGTGGAGGCACTGAAGAGAGATGGGAAGGGACCCAGCAAGATGGATAAGAAAAGCTATAGATAGAAAAACTCTCTGACTGAAGATGGATGAGCATAGCAAAATACAAACTAGAGTATCTGCTGGTTCTTTTGGGCAACAGTTTTCTGATCATTGCTCCAAGTCAGTATCTAGAAAAAATATGCTTTAAAATGGATATAGTTCATTTTGGGATTTCTTGAACACTTTCTCCCTCTCTCCTTCCACCAGAACCAAAAGTCCATTACTGAAATTAGTGAAATCACAGCCAAAAGGTGAGTACAGTTCTAAAGGTAACGTCTGCACTTTGCACAGTGTAACCCAAGCCTCAGCAGCAAGAACCAAGAAAAGGTTAGGCCTGGGCGTATCCCTTGTTATCCCCTTCCCCATCTGTGCAGTAAGAGTAACACCACTTGCCAATGGTACAGGGTGCTGTTAAACATTCAAATACTTTAGTAAGGGTTGGGCATGTACTGCAGAGAGCCAGATGGAGAAAGCCATCTGATGGTGTCAGCTGGGACTGGAGTTTGGAGGATCACACTTAGCTGAAAGCCTTCACACAGGCAGGAATCAGCCCAATATTTTTCTCTAAACTCTAAAGGAGTTTTCAAATCTATAACACTTTCTCCCACCTCTTTGCACTCATACAGAAGGGTCCATCCAGGTTCATACTGCATAACCTTTATTGCCATTCCTTTCTTTTGTTGTCTTCATGTTTGCCTTACAATGCACAAAATAAGTCATGCAGCAAAACAACAGAGAAAAAGATGCTGCACCTAGAACACTGCTGGCTTCTCTGGTCTGCAAAAAACCACACCAGCTATTTTGCAATCCAGAAAGGCAGGGAAAATTAGAAGATGATAGAAAAAGAACGCTATTTCCAAGGACACTGGTTTGGCCCTCAAACAGAGAACTGTTATCTGATACCACTTTTAATTGTATTTTATTTTTCAGTCATACACAGTATACTCAACTAAAGGTCATAATAGGTGGTTCTCATCTGATTTCTATGGAAGACCATGAGTACTGCATGAAGAGGATTTTTTTTTTTAAACACAAGTCTTGCTCAGCTGCAAGGGAACGGCTGCTTTATTTCCCTAGACATACGTATGTAAAGGCCTCAACTGAAGAACTTGGAGAGATTACATATTTGCATATGACAAAGGCACAGGTCCTCAGACATTCCTCTACTAGCTCCATACATACTGCTGATACTTAATAACAAAAGAGTAACCCTTCCATACTAGACTTGAAAAATTTGCTTAAGTCGTTCCCACTCAGGTCTAAGACATGGATGTGAATAAAGCAAAAAAAAAATTCTAATCTCTAACCTACTGGTATTTATTGCGTTGGTTGGCTGGCTTACCTTTCAGAGAAGACTGGGACTAAATCAGTGGCATAGACTGTCTTCCCAAATTAATAACTACTGGGAAATTAACAGCAAGTCCTGAGTCAACAATACATGACTCAATACAGGCTAAAAAGAACTTTTTCAGCATCCCACACGATGAAGATATCCAAGGTCAGATCATAATATTCCTCTGAAGACAGCTGAAGGAAACTCTCCAGGCTCTAAAACTGATGAATGGCTTTACTGTGAGCACATCAGACAGGCACAAGACATGAGTGCCTTTTATTCCTAAAGGACGTGCCAGCAGCCCCTACCCAGCATCCAGTTTGCAGCTATTGTGTGCATCCAAAGAAGGTAAAGAGAAACCACCAAAGTCTTTTCATGGCTCAATGGTGAAGAAACTAATCCTTCCTAGCCCTGGTGGAACCAGATGCTGCCAATACACAGCATGGGAGACTTTTCAGTTCTAGAAATATTAAGATTAAAAAAATCCTAAAACAAAAAACCAGCCAACCAACCATCCAAAAAACCACCACCAACAGCAAACAAAGCAACAACAACAACAAAACCACACCAAAAATAGAAGTTAAAAATTTAAGCTTCAGTGATGTCCACTGAAATCTAAATACACCCATAGGCAAGATAGTTTTTTCCTGAAACCATCTTCCAGACTAAACAATATCTGAGGTCATCCTTTTCTTATGCTGGTTGGACTACAACTCCTCAGCTCATGCAGGTCTCTGCCAAGCCTGGCAGGCAGTGAAATGCTGTCAGCAAGGCCAGACAAGCTTTGGAGGTCATCAAGTCTCTCCGCAGGCTTCTAAAAAATGTTTCACTCTCAGGTGATGAAATTTTCCAACACCAGGCAAGATATACAGCTTTTTAGATCCATTTGAGCCACAGAGCTTTGCTAAGCTTTAGCAAATCAAAATTTCTCTCAAAGAAGCCTCAATCTGTCAAAAATGATGTCCAGTGTTTTGATAGATCGGGTCCTGGGTGCCCGCTTCTTACCACTGATGGGAGTGTGTCACAGTGTGGCTGCTCCTGGAACTCAGGGACACTGCTGTGAGAATGCTCGTGGCTTGATTTTGAAAAAAGCACCTTAAAACAGGAAAATTTTTCTGGACACTTACCATATTTACCACCCAAGGATCCCAAATCCTCTAGAAGTATCATGTATCATGCAAACCTCACAACACCCAGCAGAGAGAAGGTAACTTTACAGAAGAGGATGCAGCTAGGATGTGGGACTTGCCTCAGATCAGAGGGGTTATCTGCGACATACTTAGATCTGAATCTGCATTCTCCTGGTGTAGAAACCCACATCTTCATTGAAAGACTACACATTTCTCTGTACCACAGTACACTGCAGAGCAAATCTTACATTCAGTTTTGTTAAAAAAGTATACAAAGCAGGCAGGGAAAGCAAGGCAGAGCACAGTGAAAAAACAGGGAACATACATGAAAAAAATAAAATGTCAGCATAACTTACAGGAGCTGCATTGTTTTTCACTGTCACACTTGGAGTTGTGGCTCGTAGGGCCCCACTCACACCATGGTAGTACTTGAAGCAGATCTTTGTTTCAGCTAAAAAAAAACAAGAAATGGATTATTTAAGATTAGAAGAATTGCCAGGGAGAAGCTGTGTGATCAGTTGCAGCTCACAGGCATAAGACTGGCAAGCAGTTAAGATTTGGAATGGTTCATTCTGTCTGTCTGGCACGACAGGATATCTCCTGCCTCTGATCTTCCCCTTTGCCAGAGTGAAATTTAGAGTTTGGTTCCTGTGATTTAAAATAGTTCAAATCCAAACCTCTTCTGAGCAGCAGTTATGACAGACAGACCTTAGAGCACCTGAGTAGACTCTTTTAGCTACATTAGGAAGAAAAAAAGTAGGAACAGATAAACCCTCATTGTTAGACACACTAAACACTAATGTGCTAAGAAACTGGGAAACTTTTTTAGCACAATGAGATTGCATAGTTGCTCGCTGACAGGTTTCACTGTGCCAATACATTCTGGCCTTGGTCAGGGCAAGGACATAGATCTCCACAGATTAACTGCTCTGTCAGTTACAACATTAAAGCATTTTTCAGAAACAACAGAGGATCACCAGACCCTGACTCAGTGTATTTCCACTGACTTCCAGAGATTTAGATTAGGTGAGGAACACAGGAAAGATCATGATTTTGGGCATTGACATTCAAATAAATAATATTAAGTGAGGGAAACTCATTCCAATAACTGTATCAAGGCATATAAGTGAAAATAGCTTCTTGCTAATCAGCCCCTCACAACCCCCTTTCTTGTGTGCTACAAGAACGAAAGACAATTTCATCCAGCTTTTCTGTTGGACTGTAACTACAAACAGACGTGAATTGCTAGTATTTGCCATGATCCTGCTCCCCTTCTTCCCTGGAACCGGTGACCTCCTGGTGCACATTCTGGCCTGCCTGCTGGCAGCAATTATCCACGGTTATATATGTAACAGGTATGTTCCTCGGATCTGAAAAACACCTGTTTAAATAAAAGCAGCATTCACATTTTCTAGTTTTAACCAGAAAATGCCATGGAAATTTTCATCTGTTCCATAAAATACTTGAAGGTGCTCTTCCTAATCAAGTTTTTCCTTAACACCTGCTTTGCAGCTGCTGCTGAAGCCCAAGGAAAACACCAGCCTTTGCCTGCAGAGCCACAACAACATTCACTGCAACTACAGTGCCTATGTAGGAAAATAATAAAGAAATGCCAGCTATGTATTTTAATATAAAAATTGTATTGCAGTTTTAACACCAGTAACAATATAAGCTAAATCACTGCAGCTGTGACAAAAGATTATGCAATATTAAGAGCTGAGACTTTGGCCAGATTATGGTGCTGTGATCTGCTGTTTGCTAGATCCAAGAAACAGCCACGCAGTGCTCCAAGTGGAAGCAAAACTTGGAGATGTGAAAAGTGGTGGAAGCTCTCAAAAATGCAGGCCTGAGTCACTTACCCTGATGCCCACACATACACAGGGATACAAGACGAAAAAGAAATCCTGATTTTTTTGAAAGACAAAATAATTTTAGAAGTGCAAAGCTTTCCTGACTTTCATATGTGACTTGGGAGATGAAAAGCAAAGAGCTTAAGTTCCCAAGTAACTGGAGCACCACTCGCTTTCAGGTGGGTTCTTAGTGCTGCTCCCTGAGGAGCCCTGCAGGAACGCACAGCCAATTGGTGTCAAGCACAGTGCCAGAGTAGTTCATCTGCTGACGTATTTTTCATCCCCACAGCTTGCTCCTCAGACGACCAGGTGCACATTTCTGCTCACACGGTGAAAATACATACATCTCCCACTGTATGCACAGACGTGTACATGTGTTTCATTTACCTCACAGCATTCCATAAGAACTGGAGCAGGCTGCAGAGTCCTTCAGCACCTCCATGAGGGGCTGTGGGGCCCATCCTGGGGTTTAATTCACAACTAGGCCCCAATTCTGCAAATTCAAGAGACTTGCTTGAGGTGTCAGTGCAGCTGAGCAAGCAACCCTATTGTTGCACCTGGGAGCAGCAGTTGTTTCCTTTTAGCAGCAAAAAAAGCTAGATGAGCCCGTGGGACTGAAAAACTGCCAGTCCAGATTGAATTTTCACATTGTAATTTTCTCTACAGGACTTTTAACAGCTCAGCAGCTAACTCATTTACTTGCTGAGAGGACAGCAAAAGCTGAGGGTATCACAATAGCTAAAACATGCAGTTCTCACCAATTATTCAAATCTTAATTTTCCTCTCCCTTGGAGATTTTTAGCTACAGTTTGCATGGAACATTGAGAGCTAAAAGAAAAAGACGCTTTCGTGTTTTTTTTTTTAATTAACTTGTGTAGCTAATAAAATATAACTTCAGGTACTAGCCTGCATGACAATGTTCAGACCCCACAGCAAGAAATTTTGTCTTAGGTTGACAAGTAGGAAATCAGTTACCACATACACTGGGAAACTACGGTTTAAAAGAATCCATTTAATTAAACTAAAAGTATTAGACAGAGAGAACACAAGGAGAAAATAATATATCCATATGTAGTTAATCTGGATATTAGTACTACTTTCAAGGACAAAGGATTACTAAGATGACTGAATACATATTTGGAAAGAACCCTGTGGGTATTGAAGGTTCCTCTCAGTTTCACATGACTACTATTTCTAATTAAATTTGCAACCAAACTGCCTTCATACAGGTGCCAACTGGCAAGAAAGCAACTCAGAATGAGGCAAGTGTCACACTGAATCCAAAACAGTGGTAGAGGTGGAGCCATTCATCAGGTAGCAGTTGAGGTGGTGATTAATGAACATCAAAGGTTTCATTCAGAAAACAGATCTGAGAGCAAAAAGTCTTATGGAGGCCTTCGCAGGTTGAGAAGTTGCACTAGAGGCATCAGAGGAAGAACATTTTCTGGGTTCCTCCCTCTCCTTTTTGCTCATATCATTTGCAGACTGAAAATATTAGGAAAATGTCCATTTTCAATGGAGAAACAAAACTTTAACAAATATAAATCTTGCAAAATTATATACAGTTTCTTTATGTGCAAAAAAGACCTAGTTGGGCATTTTTTGGCCAGGAGCCATTCTTTCCAAATAACATTATCAGTGCAATGTTTTTTCACTGCCACAGAGTCCTAACATTTTAATCTATCTGAAGATTCTCTTGCATTCTTGAATCACCTCTGAGACATTTTCAAAACAGATGCAGACATTTGCTGGCTTGGTACCACTGCCTCTGCAGATGAACAGAAAACACTGGAAGTATAAGCGAGGCAGTGATATAAATTAACCTGAACATTATCCAGCTGGCATTTGTAAATAATATGTCTTTACAAAGATGTTTGCATTGTAGTCTTGTATATTAGCTTGTCCTGGAATAAAGGAGACCATTTAACTCTGTCCTGATGCCCTTGCTACATGGCAGAGTGCACAGGTCAGGAGCAGGTGTTGTCCATTTAATCCCCAGTTATAAAGAAATGTGTGCCATTGTTATTTTCATCTCTAGTTACGAGTAGCAGCTCACTGGATCCCATAATGAAGTTATGATGTTAAGGTCAGGAAGTAATGAGGTTAAATTCTTCTTTCAATTAGCAAAAGTGGTAGTGAGACTGGTAAATCTTCCAAGAGATGAGATGTCTAAAGATGCTCAGAAATACTCATGCCCATTGACAACTACCACTCTGCTCAGCAATTTTCATGGATCAAGAACAGAACAGCATTGTAATCCCTTTACAGCAGGCTTGGTATCTTGACTTGTGCTGCTTTTGGCTGGAGTAGAGTTAATTTTCTTCACAGTGGCTACTATGGAGCTGTGTTTTCAATTTGTGCTGAACAGAGTGATGACAATACAGAGATGTTATTGTTATTCCTGAGCAGTGCTTACACAGAGCCAAGGCCTTTTCTGCTTTTCATACTGCCACGCTGGTGAGAAGATTGGCGGTGCATAGAAAACTGTGAGGAAACACATCTGCCACAAGTGAATCCAACTAACCAAAGGGATATTCCACACCATATGACATCATGCTCAGTATATAAAGTAGGGGTGAGAAGGACAAAAGGGTGGGACATTTGGAGTGATGACATTTGTCTTCCCAAGCAGCCATTGCATGTGATGGGGTCATGCTCTCCTGGAAATGGTTGAACACCTGCCTGCTCATGGGAAGTGGTGAATGATTTATTGTTTTGCTTTGCTTGTGTGCATAGCTTTTGCTTTCCCTATTAAACTGTCTTTATCTCAACCCATGAATTTTCCAGCTTTTACCCTGCTGATTCTCTCCCCAGTCCAACTGGTGTGGGAGTGAGCGAGCAGCTGCATGGGGATTGGTTGCTGGCTGCAGTTACACTATGACACCATTTTACCACGGCTGTGTTACAGCCTTCCGCCGTATCTGTATAAATAAAAGTCCCCAGCTGCATGCTCAGATCCACCACCATAACTGTCACAGGTGCAGAAAATACAACTGCCCCAAAGGAAGGGCCCCAAGGCAGGGCAAGTCAGGATAATCAGAATCAAGCAACGTGGTGTGTGTGTGGGTGATTCTGTTTCACTCCTTGCACCATGGCCCGCAAGCACCTCTGTGGACCACATAGGAGGGAGGCTCATGGAGAGGAGCCAGGATGTAGTTCATCCCTGCACACCACAGAGACCACTCCTCATTCAGAGGAAAGCACTGAGAAGTTTAACTTTTACCAGAGAAACTCTGCCATGAAGCTTCATCCCTCTCATAAGAAAAAAAAAAAATCATTTCACAAAAATTATTTCTCTATCAGAGCCCTGAGTTACGAAATCAGTTTTGCAATTAACTGGAAAATTAATTTACCAATCGAACATTATTCTTCTTGGCAATAGTTTATGCTGCCTCTGCAATCACCCACTGAAAATACCCTACTAAACAGAAGTGAGAGGAGATAAAATCTAGTAAGGTCTGATGATGAATTGCATCTGGAGGTATCGAAAGTTTAAAGTCTCCAAGAGATGTCCTAGTACTCATCATCCAGCCACTCTCCTGTCAGTTACTACTCCTGCTGGTTTATTTGATAACCTTTCCCTCTAAAATAATTCCATTCC